TTCCCAGTAACAAATATTTTTCAACTTTTGCTGTAATTTCCACTGGAATGTATCTTCCCCCCTCCTCTTTAAATATCAATTTTAGGTTCCAATTTTCTTTGATATAGAAAACCACTCCTCTTTTTTCCACTTTATGTGAAGAAATAAATTCTTGATCGAGTTTTTTATTTGATAAAATTTTTCTATGTTAGCCGTGTAATGTGTGTTTCCTGTAAACAAATTACAAATTCTGCTTTTCCAAAACATAGTAAACATGTCTCCTTTTCTGAGGAGATTAAGCCATTAACATTCCAAGAATAAATTCTCAAAGCCATGATGTTAGATTAAGGGGTCGCCGCTCCTACCCCTGGCAGCTGCAGGCTTTCCAGTCCAAGTTCCACCGAGTACTTTTGCAGAAATCTGTCCTTCTCCCCAACAGTCTTAATTCTTTGCTTTCTTCCTCCAAATTTGAAGGAAAGACCCTCTGGGAATTCCCACCTGAAGAAGATATTTTTCCTCCTCAAGATGTTGCCAACTCTGTGAAATTGGATCTCAGGTTCAAGAAGTGTCTAGGAATCTCTTTGAAAAGGAGAATGGGTTTATCCTGAATTTTTAAAACTTTTTTGCAGTCCCAAAATGATATCTCTTTGTTCCTTGGTCTTGAAGACCACTATGCAGTCATAAGTTGTTTTTGAATCCTTTTTGGGGCCAAACCTATAGGCTTTTTCTATCCACAGTTCAACTTCTTCCTTTTTCAAGTCCCACCACACCACAAAATGGTCCGTCAAACACTCCTTGAGTGGCTCTTCTTCCAATTGAGGGACCCCTCTCAATCTTAGATGAGATTCCCATTCCTTCATCTGAAGAAATGCAATAAAATTTGAATTTTCATATTGTATTCATTCCAAATCTAAAACTCTAACTGTCTCAAGCTGTGCCAACCTTGTCTCATGTGTTGTAATCTCATTCTTCGCCTCTTTCAGTTCAACACTTAAATCTTCAAACTTTTTATTCAATTTTTCTATACCCTCTGTATTACGATTTGTATTGTCTCTGATTTTCATTACTGATTCCTCAAAGGCTGCACTTTTAGAGCCATGTCTTCCAGTTCCCTTATCTGGTTAGTCAGCACTCAAGAATTTCAAGTTCAGTCCCACAGTTTAGTGGAGTGAGAGAGAAAAACAGATTCCCACCACCAGTCCCACAGGTGCCAGCCCAGGCAGCCCGCAGCCCCCCTGTTCCTTGTTGTTAAAAGCCAGGCTGTAAAAGAAATTTTCCAAGTCCCTTTTGGAATTTAACAGACAATCCTGGAGATTCCTGGAGGTAACAGATACTTTTAGCTACTTTAAAATGTGTCCAGACAGCAGCAGGATACAAAATAACAGAGTCAATGGAAACGAAAATCAAATGTTTCACCTTCCATTGTGATGTCACAATGGAGTCTAGCCTTTCCATCCCGGGGGTCCGCAGCAGAATGAAGGAGCTTCTTTACTTTAATCACAGTCTCTCAGGGTTTTTAAAACTTAAAGTAATTCCCCCCCTTCCCCCTGCAGAAGGGGGGCATTAGATTTGACTTGCAAACTTTCAAACAGTCTTTTTACTAACAAAAAAATTCCTTCCAGTAGCACCTTAAAGACCAACTAAGTCAGTTCTTGGTATGAGCTTTCGTGTGCATGCACACTTCTTCAGATAGTCTTTTTACTATTGAGGCTTCGGTCCTCGTTTACCGACTCTACTTTAGTTCAACGAAAGGGATCGACCTCCGTTTTTAAATCCCCTTTCCCCTGCTAATCTTGATCAAATTTAAACTTTATCCTTTACTTACAGTTCCAAATTTCAAGTCCTTTTTTTTGAAGGAATTGGCCGCTCACGAACCCCAGACTCGGAGCTTCGCGCTGTGAAGGAAGCAGTCGTTTCCGTGTGCCGCGTCTCCGACCCCACTCGCTCTTGGGGCTCCTACGAGTTTACCGGGGAGTGGGGGAGTCGCCAGAAGGCACCCACCGGATCACCAGGTCCTCAGAATGCCCGATCTGAGGTTTTCCCCAGGGGAACGCGTCGCTTTTGCGGTCTCTCCTTGCTTCACTGCGCTGGGGCTCTTTCAGCCAAAAGAGCTCCCATCTGCCATTACCGGGCGACCAAATGGGAGTTTAGCTGCCACATTTTGGATTAATTGCAGTTTCTGGGTAACCTTTAAAGGTAGGTAGCGTCACATAGAGCGCATTGCAGTAGTCCAAGCGGGAGATAACTAGCGCTTGCAACACTCTGGTGAGACAGTCCGTGGGCAGGTAGGGTCTCAGCCTGTGTACCAGATGGAGCTGGTAAACAGCTGCCCTGGACACAGAATTGACCTGCGTCTCCATGGAGAGCTGTGAGTCCAAAATGACTCCCAGGCTGTGCACCTGGTCCTTCAGAGGCACAGTTACCCCATTCAGGACCAGGGAGTCGTCCATACCAGCCCGCCCCCTGTACCCCAAAAACAGTACTTCTGTTTTGTCAGGATTCAACCTCAATCCATTAGCCGCCATCCATCCTCCAACCGCCTCTAGACATTCACACAGGACCTTCACCGCCTTCACTGGTTCTGATTTGAAAGAGAGGTAGAGCTGGGTATCATCTGCATATTGATGGACACCCAGCCCAAACCCCCTGATGGTCTCTCCCAGCGGCATCATGTAGATGTTAAAAAGCATGGGGGAGAGGACAGAACCCTGAGGCACCCCACAAATGATGGCCCCGGGGTCTGAACACTCATTCCCCCCCCCCCATTTTCTGGACACTGCCTGAAGGAAAGAGTGGAACCACTGTAATAACAGTGCCCTCTAGATGGTCCAGAAGGATGTTATGATCGATTGTAACAAAAGCCACTGAGAGATCCAGCAGAACTAGAAAACAGCTTTCACCTTTGTCCATAGCCCACCGGAGATCATTGACCAGCACGACCAAGGCAGTTTCAGTCCCATGGTGAAGCCTGAATCCCGATTGGAAGGGATCCAAATGGTCTGCATTCTCCAGGCGTGCCTGGAGTTGTTCAGCATCCACCCTCTCAATCACCTTCCCAAGAATGGAATATTTGAGACTGGGCGATAGTTGGCCATATTGGCTGGGTCTAAAGATGTTTTTTTAAGAAGCGGTTTAATGACCGCCTCTTTCAGCGGGTCTGGGAAAGCTCCCTCACAGAGGGAAGCATTCACCACCCTGCAGAGCCCATCGCCCAGCCCTTCCCGGCTTGCTTTTATTAGCCAGGATGGACAAGGATCAAGGAGACAGGTGGTTGGTTTCACGCGTCCAAGCAGCCTGTCCACATCCTCGGGGGTAACGGATTGAAATTGATTCCATGCAACTTGACCAGACAGGGCTCTAGCACTCTCCCGCCCCAGCCCTGCTCCCACGGTGGTATCTAGCTCCTTCCGAATATGAGTGATTTTATCTGCAAAAAACTTTGCAAAATCGTTGCAGGAGATCTTGGGGTCTTTACAAGGCCCCGGTGGTAAAGGTGGTTCTGTTAAATTGTGGACCACCTAAAAGAGTCTCCTGCTACTATTTTCTGCAGATGCAATAGAGGCAGTGAAGAAAGTCTTATTCGCTGTGGCTATCGCCGCTTGGTACGCTCGACGTTGAGCTCTAACCCGTGTCTGGTCCGGTTCAGAATGAGTTCTCTGCCACCGGCGCTCTAGTCGTCTCAGCAATTGTTTCCTTGCCCTCATCCCTGGGGGAAACCACAGGGCTGTCCGGGCTCCATGCAGTCGGAGAGGGTGCTTGGGAGACAGAGTCGATAGCCCTAGTTAACTCCACATTCCAGCGGGCCACCAGGGAATCAGATGAAAATTAATCCCCAACCAGATATCCATCCCACCCACCCTAACAGAGCAAAAGGGGGGGGGAGGAGAAGAAACAACTTAAAGTGCCACCGACTGCTTAAGGACATTTTAAAACACATTAGACACTTGGAACAGGAAAGCAATAGCAGAACAACTCTGCACTTTTGTAGCTGGGAGTGTGAGGGCCTGGGCCCCACCCCCTGGGCCAGCTGGAAAAGGCCTTGGAAGGGAGCAACATTCCTTTGTAAGAAAATATGAAATAAAGTCAAACCATTTTTACAGGGAAAATTAAAATAAAATAAATCAATGTGGGGTGGGGGTGACAAGAAATTTTCCGCACCGGGTACCACCTGACCTTCCTACGCCACTGCCCTCAAATAGAGAACATCTTCAAGTAAGAGAATTGTCCTCTAGAATAGGGGTAGGCAACCTAAGCCCGCGGACAGTCCAGCAATCAGCGTGTTTTTACATGAGTAGAATGTGTGCTTTTATTTAAAATGCATCTCTAGGGTATTTGTGGGGCATAGGAATTCGTTCATCCCCCCCCCAAAAAAAAATATAGTCTGGCCCACCAGATGGTCTGAGGGATGGTGGACCAGCCCACGGCTGAAAAAGGTTGTTGACCACCCTAGAGGGCCCCTATGCTTGTTGACATGCAGGGTGGTTTCTTACTGCATATTAATCTGTTTGTCATTCTTATGATATTTGTTCATACCTTGCAAGTGTCCCAGGACATCCCGTTTTTTCGCACGAGCATGGCGGCCATTTTGAGTGCTGCAATATCATCCTGAAAAAAGCACTTTTTCGGGGCCACAATCTCTTGCAGCACCATGACACACATGTTTTTGCATGCCAGGAGAGCACAGCACTGGAAAAAATGAGTCTTTTGGGTTCTGTGATCTTGTGCAGGTGATGTAACTCACGTGGGAGCACGGCCAGGAAGAAACACATCCTGGTTTGGGTGCTCAACATGTTGGAGGTTATGTTCATTGTTATTATGAAGCATCATGCCTTATCACGTCAACCAGGAGGAAACAAACTGGGAGGAGATAAGCCTACCAAGAGCTTTCTCTGAATCACTGAATGTCTATGACCCCCTATCACCAGAGATACATTTCTTGTGCCTTTAAGGCCTCAGTTGGGATCTATATCTGGGCTCAGGTTTGGTCTTGGTTAACTTGTCTTCATCATTCTCCTCTACAGATCTCCTCGATGATGATATTGCAGATGATGTAAGGTGCCTTAAGAAGGTTATCACCGAGAAAGGGCTGGAGTATTGGTGAGTGACATCAGCTTTCCTGCTTTATCAGAATGAGCAACTGGGGGGAAATGATGTAATCAAGTCAAAGCAGAAAACAAAAAACTGTTTTTAAAGGCCCTTTATTAAGGGATGAAAGTAAGAGACACAAATCATTCTTTTTGTAGTAAGTAAATATAGTTTTGAGATATATGCAAGATATTTCATGATAAAGTAAATCTGCAATCTTTTGACTTCAAAATCCTCATATGCTTAAGGAAGGTACACCAACACATAGAAGTTCCTTTGGGTCATTCTGTTATGAAAAGGGTTGACGAAATACGATACATGATGAATATTAAGGGCATTTCCATACAGGGTAGTTTGTTTTGGAATAGGTGCTGCTCATGCAAGATGAGGGTGTTTATTGCCCGGCCTCATGTCCAAAATACACGGGCAAAGGCTCCTCCATGTAAGTGAGGAAAAGTCAGCTGAAGTCAGGGTGTTCCTCCAGCCCAGGTTTCCTTTCCCCCTGTGTTTCCTCCCTCCTCGGTGTCAGATCCTGCCAACCCAAGCCTGATCCCACTGTGAGGCTTGTGACAATTATTTTGCTAAGTAGAAAATAAATATGGATACTCATTTCTTTGCTATTAAATCTCTTGCACCTGCCTTCTTTCCTATTACCTTTGCAGAGTTTTAGTTCTGAGTGCAAAATATAAATTTCCCTCAGTGAGTTTTGGCATACTATCCAGTCAGTAGGTTCAAGCTTTGGGGAGATAATAATAATTTGAGGTTATTATTCTGCTAAATTCACCTTTCACATCACCAGGCACTCACAAATCACCCCCAATGTGTTTTGTTCTGCTAGGACAAGCCTGGACCTGCCCTGATTTATGGTTTTACATCAGGGCTGGCCCACAGAAGATAAGAGGACTGTCAATGGCTACTAGTCATGACAACTACAGTATCAGAGGCAGCATGCCTGCATGTGGGGAGCATGTCCCAATTTATTGTTCTACCTCTAGTTTTGTGCTGCAGCACTGAAAAGTTCACAGCCCAGTTTTTACTGCGTCATCAATATTCTTTTCTTGTTTGTAATGTTCCCGTGTGTACATTGGCCACATCCTGCTCATAAAGAATGCTGATGTGCAACCCCTCCCCTCTTTTTCTGTGCCTTTAGGACACATTATCAAGTAAACTGCAGCAGAGGAGCCCTCAGCATTCTGCATCTCTCATGTTCTTATTTTTTGGAATATCAGTCCTGGTTCAAAAACTTAGTATTGTACGGGAAGAAAAAGGAAGTCCACATACATTTTAATTAAAAAAACTAACTGGGAATTCTTTCATTGTGTTTTAAGTCTTCCAAAAAGAAATAAAAGCCAATCAATGATAAAAGTGCTTGATGACTTCTTTCGTCTTTGTAAACTCGGGTTTTTATGCTAAGGATGTCTAGCACAGCTTGACCTCACATCTTCGCTATTCTTCTAAAGATGGAAGCCTCTGTGGTTTCCAGTGCTTTGTGAATAAGACCGAGGCCATTATTAATCAAAATAGATTCCATCCAGCTACTTGTATTTTTTCCTCACAATTGGCAGCTGCAGCATCCTAGGTGGGATAATTTTGCCTCCATGCCTAAGAAGGGATGAAACAGGTACAGAAAGATAACCAGCTGTTTTACATTCAATAGTTCATCCAATCAGGGTTGTGTATGCTGGTGCCTGTTTAAGGGGGTCTTGCTTCATTCATGCAGTTCTCAGTCATGACTGGACACCAAAGAGCAGGGCTGCGGTGGTCTGGGGTTGCAGGGGGTCAAAGACTCATTTCTATTTCAGCAGCAGGGATCTAGCAAGGTCCTTGTCTTCAGCATGAGAGGAAAGCTTTCTAGCCACAGAAATAAGTCTTCTCACCCTTTGTGCTGGTTGGAGCCAATCAGAGTGAAAGGAAGTGAGTCAGTCACCGAGGATTGGCTCCTAGGGTTACTCTGGAGAAGGCCCTTGGGAAGGAACGGAGGATGAGTTGTTTGGTATGCTCCAAAGCTAAGCATTGTAATGGCTTGGCTCTCCCACAGAAGCGAGACACTGGCAGTAATTATCTCAGGTTTATTGCTCAAACACATAAATCACTCCGGAGCTCCTTCACTCCGTGTCTGACTCCAAGTTTGCAGTTGCCGAGTCTAAACTCCGCCCCTTCCTCTTCTTCCAACATGGGAAAAAACCCTTCCACTTCCGCTTTTTCCCCCTCCTCTCACTGACCTTCTCACGCCTTCGAGTTTTTGGGCTAGCTATTCCTGGCCTCTCCCCTTCTGTCTCTGAGCTAAGATTGGTATCTGCTGCCTGCTCTCTGTTCTCTGAAGCTATGCCACTCGGCTGCCCCTCCTGCCTCTCACATTCCACCTCACATCCCAGTGTCCTTATCTCTCTCTGCCTGCTTTGATTCCCAGCCGCTGTTTGGGAAAACTGAAAACACATGATGCTTCCATTTCAACAGAAGGGTGTCCAACATACGTTATGTACATTGGCTCTTTGAAGAAAACAAAACGTAAGTCACTCAGAAAGAAGATAGTAGAGTACTCCAGATCATTTGCCCATGCACGTGCACAGAAAATAGCAGCTGAAAGGCAACACATGGTTATATGCATTGATCATCACATTGCACACTTAATTATTATTATTATTGTATAACTATAAGATTTTGTACCATCCTGGAAGATTGTATAAACTTATGTTCTCTGAGTATATTTCACTTAGTAGAAGGGGTGTGGCTGTGAGGGCACATTGCTGGGACTATCAAGAAGATAGCACTTCTAAATTTGGCACTACACTGCTGCCTAAAAGAAGTGTTGCCCAAATCAGAACTGAATTACAACTAATAAGCTGAAATGCACCCACCACACCCATTATTTGAAGGCAATAACAGAAGGTTACCAGACGTCCCCATTTCCCGGGTACAGCCCCCGGATTTACAAATCAGTCCCCATACAAAATCCATTGAAGTTGAAAAGTGTCCCCGGATTCATTGAAAAAAATCTGGTAACCTTCCGATAACATTTAATATAAATAAATAAATAAATCAGCA